AACATTTAATTTTCTGAATATTGCTTAATCTTAATTTCTGTTCTAAGATTTATACTACATCTCTAACATACAATTTATTTAAAAGACATTGTATGATATCTTCTCCTAGTATTAGAAACTTTAAAAACTATATTTCCATTTTATGTTGACTTTAAAAAAAAGAGGTTTGTACCTAAAAAAAAATTAGAATATATTTTAAAAATAGGCATAAAGAATTATATACTTCTTATGTTTACACATAAGTCGAAAAAACTAACCTTATACAACCTTGAAGCAGGACAGTCCCACAATATTCCTTTTCCTGTCTCTTGCTCCATCTACCTGAGAGAAGCATAGCAGCAACTGGCATGTCATGACGATGAATATTGATTCTTTAATTGGAACTTTTGTTAGAAACTCCGACTCATGGTGATCCTCCTGCCTTCAGCCTCTCCAGTGCTGGGATTACAGGCGTGCACTACCACACCTGGACTCTGGTCAACTAGCCTGCACTGGTGGTGGGGCTGGCGAAGCATGTGGTGCTGGGGATCGAATCTAGGTCCTTTTGCTTGCCTAACCTTGCCTAATCAGGTGCTTTAGTCTGCTGAGCTATCTCATTGGCCCTGTGATGATGGGCTTTGCACTTGAAAATTTATTGTAGGCTTTCTATGATATTGGGTGTGTGTCTTACTTGTTTCTTTTTATTTTAGGGATGAGAATGGGAAGTGTTAGTATCTGTTGGGCAACACCTGAGAGTTACTCTTACTTTTTAGTTGCTAACTCACTTTCCACCAAAATCTTGGGGAACATTCAGTTTCCTAAACTAAGGTTTAGTAGTTACTGATTCAAGGTGTCACAGTAGTTGTTAGAATGGAGAACGTTCACAGTATTTAGGCTAAGCGCTGACTCAGACAATTACTTCAAAGTGTACTCCACAAGTACCTGGGGGTCAGGTGCTGCTTTTGCCTTCTGAAAAGTATGATTCTATAATGTAGGCTTGTGGGGCTTGCAGCTTTAATCTGCAAAGATATATTTAGGGTTCAGACTGGGTAGAATTGAGCATGTGGAAAATATTTGACAACACCCCTCCCATTATTTTCCAGCTTTGATATCATATAATTATTTCTTGGGGAAATGATTTATATTTTTCAGAGATTTAAAAAGAAAAAAGAAAGAAGGCAAGAGTTTTATTGGCATAATCCAGTAGCCAGTGTGAATTGAAATATAAATTCTATAGATTAGGCCAAAATATTTTCCTAGGAGCAGAGCACTTGCACTACGTATAAGGCCCTGGGTTGAACTCCATCACGTGCATGCACAGAAAGAGCTTCTGGTTAAAAATAAGGTTTCGTTTAACTATATTCAGCTTTTATTTAGGAATGGATATCTGATTTTCTGACAGCTCTTGTTTTCTCCTACAACATATGTGCAATTTTTAGAAAAGTTTATTTTATTTTATCTGATTATTTAACATTTATTTGAAAAAGAAAAAAATGCAAGAAAAGAAACAATCAAACAGAACTTCAAAACAGGTTAATAGAAGTGTTGCAATAATTGATACATTGTATGTTGTTGTCTTTGTATTCGTTATGCAGAATACAAGATATAGGCAGGAGATCTTGTCCAAGCAATATTAGCACAAAACTTTCTTTTCAATGAACCAAGAGAAATTAGCTATATCTTACCTATCTTGTGTACATCTTGCTTTCCCCCTTCCTTCCTTTCCCCTTTCCCTCACCAGTTTGTCTATTTTTTTGAATAGTTTCTTCCCAGTTCACAATATCTATTGTACATTTTGGACCTTATTTAATAATTAAATCTCTCATATATCTGAGAAATACAATATTTACACATATGGGTCTGATAATTTCACTTATGAGTATAGTCTCAAGTTGTGTGCATTTACCCATAAAAGTCTCCAGTTTATCCTTCTTTATGGCTAAGTAGTACTCCATTATATAAAACAACCACTTTTTAAAATTAATTTTATTGAGAAATAGCAATGAGACAGTTTCAAAACAAGTTAGTAGGACAGTTATAGTAATTAATACATTGCCTATAGTTGTCTTCATGGTAGTTACTTGGAGTACAAGATGCAGACATGATATTTTGTCTAAACACTATCAGTATATAAATCTTCTCATTAAACTAAGAGAAAGTAGCTGTATATCTATCCTATTTTGTATATACTATAAATATAGATATATATATATTTTTTTTTCACTACAAAATCGACCTTCATTTATATCCCCCCTTTTTGTTTAGTTTTGTCAGAGATGGGTGTTCCATTGCCATTCAAATATGGTAGGTGTATGAATTCAGCAAAATAATCCAATATAGTCCAGTAGTGCATAATAGTGTGGGTTATTTGCATGACAGGCAATGTCACAAGTTGTTGACTTGAGCCTTTTACAGCTCAGAATATTAATATAGCTTTACTTTTTATACTTTCTTTTTATACTTTTCTTCTGGATGGTTAAGACCAAGATAAAGCAAGACCTATATAACAAAAAACGTAACTTTTGTATGTGATAAGGTCAGTCAAGTCCCCCTCAGAATTTACCCTAAAACCCTGTACAGGAGTTTGTAGATCTTTTGTCAGTGTCAGCCATGTGGATGAGTCACGGCCATTGCTGGACCAATTTGCTCTCTGTGAAAGCCAAAGAGAATGTTTTCTCACTATGTTACTCTCCTTAGACACTCTACATCTTCAATCACTTTCCTCTTTGGCTCTATAATTTCCTTGAACAGAAAATTTGGGACACAACTGAGTTACAGGATGTTACAGTACAGGTTCTCTTATGTCCTGAGTCATCACTGTCCTTTAATGGCTAGGGCCAAAATGTTGGCTGTCCTTGCAGCCCTTCTTTTTCTCTAATCTTTTGGTCTGCAAACTTAAGTTGTTAACCATCCAGAGAGAAGTTTAATGATATTATTGCCTTACAACATAGGCAGTTGAGCCTAACATCACTATCTGTCTGAATACCAAATGCCTTAGACATAATCTGAAACAGATACTTTCCAACAATTGTTGATATGATAAACTTTGTATCTCTATAAAATGCAAAAAATAAAATAAAATAAAAATAAACAATTACAGACTTTTACACAGAAATTTGGAAATCTAACCACATACAACATTGTAGCAGGATGGTCTTATGACATTTTTTCTTGTCTCATGTTTTATTACCTTTTTTAAGACAAACATTTATTTGATAGAGAATATGGCAATAATTGATATGATATTAAAAGCAGTACACATTTAGAAGATCAGAATGACAGGCATTCCAAGCATGGCCCTAGTATTACACATTGCTATCCTTGGTGCAGAAAATCATGGAACGCTTCACAAATTTGCATGTCATCCTTGTGCAGTCACTATGCTAATCTTCTCTGTATCGTTCCAATTTTAGTATATGCACTGCCGAAGCAAGCACAACCACTTCTTTTTTTTTTTATTAATTTCTCTCTTGTTGAGAATTTGGGTGCTTTCCAAGATTAATGTATTACAAACTGTGCTGCTATAAACATGGGTGTGTATATGTCTATGTGGTATGATGTTTTTAATTCTTCTGGGAAGATACCAAGAAGGGATGGAATGGAACTTTTGTTTGTTTTGTTTATTTGTATTTTAGGGAAGAGTCTACGGGGTGTTCAGGGTCTCACTACTAGATCGGACTTGCAGTGATCCGCCTGTTTACAGCCTCTCAAGAGCTGGGATTACAGGCGTGCGCCACCAATGCCCAGTATCACTTTTTGTCTTGGCATGCCCCGGGGGAGCGGCTGGCATGGCAGGCTGGAGCACTCAACCCCTGGCCCCTGTCCCTGCTTGCAGGCTCTTTAATCCACTGAGCTATTTGGCCAGCCTGTTAGGAAAGGGGCTTCTAATGCTAGGTTTTTGAGGAATCTCCACACTGATTTCTGCAGTGGTTGTACCAGTCTGCCCTCCCACCAATAGTGGAAAAGTTTCATTTTTGCCCACAGCCCTGCCAGCATTTCTTATTGGTTGACTCCTTAATGACAGTGATTCTTTATGAAGTGAGATGGAATTTCACTATTGTTTTAATTTGCATCTCTCAAATGTCCAGTGATGCTGAAGATTTTTTTATGTATTTATTTGCTATTTGTATTTCTTCCTCTGAGAAGTGTGTATTCATCTCAGATGCCCATTTTTGGATTGTGTCTTTGAATTTGGAGTGTCTGATTTTGTTCAATTTTTTATGTGTTCTAGTTATAAGTCCTATGTCTGGAGGACAACTGCCTATAATTTTCCCACTCTGTGGATTATCTTTTCACTCTTTTGGTGATTTTGTTGTTGCTGTGAAGAAACTTTTTAATGAAGTCAGATCCCACTTTTTGATTTTCTAGTAGTATTTCCTTTGCAGTCTGGCTTCTGCTTATGAAGTTTGTGCCTACACGTATATCTTCAAGATTTCTACTTATTTTCTCTTCCAGTAAATGTAGTACTTTTATTTTAATATTTAGAAGTGACGCTTTTTGACTTTAGTTTAGTGTATAGTGACAGGCATGAATCTTGTTTTAGTCATATTTGCCATTTTAATGAAAAAGCAATCCAAAAAGCCATTTTATAGTTCATCTATACCCATGTAATTTAGTATTGGAAAAACTTACATTAGAGTTAAGTTAGAAAATTAGAAGTTAAATTAGAAAATTTTTATGCATTTCTAGAAACAGACAAAAACATTATACTTAGAGAAATAATTGAAATCTGATAAGGATTGCATATATTTCTATTGAAATACAAGGCCCAAAATTGACTATTAATATTACTTCAGTTCATTATAGTATCCAAGTTTTAAAAAAGACATTTTATCAAATGCATGTGAGTTATTCATAAATAATAAAATTTATAAAAAGCATATTAGCTAGGTAAATATGACACAGTTGTATACACTGATCTAATTTAATGTATAAAGCAACTATGAGTCAACAAAGTAATTATTTGAGTTCAAAATAAGCTTTTCATTCACTTGTCAATACTTGAAAGTTTTCAGGCTCAAGAAAAAAAAACTTCTTAGTGTATATGTTCATGAGAAATAAATTGATATTTAATCTTAATATGGAAAACCAAGCAGACATTTGATATTGATTTCATATTGATATTTGTGTTGTTGGATGTTGAAAGGAATAGGTTTTTTTCATCTTTGTGCTATAAATTAGAGCTTCATTGAAGTGTCTCTGCCATTTTTTTCATTATTTTGTACCAGATTATAGAGCACTTTCCTCATCAGTTTCAAAAGAAATGATTAAGAAAAAAGTTCTGATTGCAAGAATTGTGCAATAGGCCCAAGGAAATAATCAAAATCTAGTAGAAGTTTCTTCCATGCATTTTCTTGAAAAACATAATCAGATATTCAACTCTTTTACTTATCTATGGCCAATAGCTTAATTCCCTAATTGTTTCTAATTATCATTATACTTCTTTCTATCTTCTTTGGTGATGAGATTTCTAAATTCTCCCCCTACTATGGTGAATTGCTCAAAAGACTAACAATTTTATATAACTAGAGGAAAAAATACTGTTGGGCTATACCGGTAAGTCATATTTAAAAATTAAATGACAATTCTTTTCTTAATATTTGGGAATCATTAGTATTGTGGAGAATATAGAGGTTTTTCTTTTTGTTCACTTGAATTCATAAGGTACACTGAAATAGACTACTCTTACCAGCAGAAAAGATTAATACATTAAAAAGTTTGTTAAATTTTGATAATTATTTCATAAATGTCTACTACATGTGGATGTGAATTGAAATGAATCCTATTCAAGCAAAACAAAGCATTCACTTTACTAAATTTAGAGAGGTACATTTGACTGTAAAGGTAGAATGGGAATTGTATTCAATAGCACTTAGCAGACACTAGCAGAATTGCATTTTGAAACTGATACATTCAGTGAATAATCACCCCACAACAGAGCCTACCAAGTAATAGGAAGATTGTTAAGTAGAAAGCTACTTTCATGAGTTCAAGCTCGTCATTGATAATAGAGTCAATGTGTTGAAATGAGGCTATAAATATTGTCAGATGAGAGCAAACAAGACATGACGTATACAAAAATAGTATTGACCCTAGGAACAAGTGCATGAAAGACCGAGTACCTTACAGTGCCGCTAACAAGTTTTTAGGAAGCACAACCAACTTATATGGTTATAAGACAGCAGAGAGGTTATATGTATATAGGGAGAGGTTAGACAGTAGAATTGGGGGCCCAGGATAGAGGTCAGTGGCACAAGCAGCACTGGAAATGGGGCCTGAAGAGCTTTATGCTCTCGTGGTAATATTTTGTGTTCTTTAAAAATCTAGATGTCATTTAATAGAATCTATTCACTGTAATAATCTAAATTGTACACTTATGTACACCATATATGAATATGTATATATTCCTGTCATAATTTAATTGGATATATGTGGATAAAAAATTTTAGAATAAATGTCTAAAATAAAATGTTTATTCCTTCTCCACTGGCTATATAAAAATGTATTTTGACAGGACTAGTTAGAAAAATTCAGTTCAGTTAATAGCACAGATCTTAAAAACATTACCCGTAAATTCTGTCTTGGTGTTTAAGGAGAAAGATCTGGTTACCAGGAAATACAGCCTAGATGTGGTGCATGGGAATAGGTCAGTGGCTTCCTGGAGTTTGTATCTATGTCATGATCATGTAGACTTACCCATAGAGTTACCTACAGTTTAAATCCTAAACAACGATAGTCCAATCCATAAAAGTTCACTACATTGTTCTTATCTCACAAAGAGAAAGAAATGATTGTCTCCATCTGCTCCTTTTTTTTTTTTTTTTTTTTTTGTGGTACCAGGGATTGAACTCAGGACCTTGTGCTTGCCAAGCAAGCACTTACTCCACTTAGCTATCTCCCTGGTTCTCCATTTGCTCTTAATCAAGAATGATAAATGATTCTACTTTGTCTATAACACTGGAGACAAAACATTGCTTAGAATTTTATTAGCTGCCTGAAATGTAATTGTAGCAGTGGCCTGACATGAACAAGGCAACTTGTGGTGCCTTAGTAGCTCAGTCAACTCAAAACATTGCCTTGTGTTATTAGCATCTTGGAGCTGTGTTCTTTGTTGTGTGTTATCTTCCAATATCAGGGCCCACCAATGAATTTTCAGTTTCTTATTCTATCTTCCTCTTCAAATTTAACACACTGAGTCTTATTTTGTAAGATTTACTCTGTATCTTTTTCTATAAATATACACATGCAAAATGTGGTGGAGAATTTAAACAATTTTCAGAGTAATCTCAGCCAAAAAGTGGTCTCACTTGCCTAGATATTTCAGATGGAGTGTGTTTCTTTTAGAAATATAAAGTCAATTATTGCACATCTCCATTTTATGTGCCTCGGCAAATATTTAGTATTCAGAGTGTGGAAAATTGCTGAGGAGAGTGATTTCAAAATAAAGGGAAGAAATCTATTTTCAAGTAGAGGAAAGATTTAAATTTATGGTTATTATTTTGGCTTAAAGTTAGAAAACTTTTTCTTTTTAATATTTCATTAACATTTATGTGATCAGATTGATTTCCACAGTATATAAATTAAAGTAGAAACCATAAGCAGCAAAACTGGGTCGATGTTGATGATTAACACAGGAAAAATTCATAGCATGAGATGCAGTCAGCTTTTCAGTGAATATATAAGAATAAAAGATGTAGGACTTGCCAAGAGATTCTTTTGGCTGAGGCATCACATGGTAATGCTATTCAGAATGTAGTAATGAATGCCTTTCCACTATAATAACACCTATTCTAATCCTCTCATTCTAAACTGAACATAAATATAAAGGATATTAAGAATATATTTGAGATGTCAATGAAATAAAATGTTGTCACAGGATAATGGTCTCCTGCTGCTTCATAAAATACCAAGCCAAAGGCAAGACTTACATTTTCAGAGTAGAAGACATTAATCCCATGACAGTGTTTTATTGCAGTGATTGTATTTCTATTATACAAAATGAGCATGTAGATTTAATCAATTCACTTGATGAATGTTGATGTAGTAAATTGACAATGGTTTATCATCATTATGGAATTGTTGTCTTTTTGTAAGCAGTTTATCAAAGAAAACACAGATTTTTAGGGAACTGAATTCAGAGGGTTTGGAACAGTGGTGGTTCCTGAATAGATGGAGGTTGGTTTCTCCTCAGAGACTATGAGTTAATAGAACAATCAAGGGACAGTATGATTGACACACTAACAATGGTCTTCTCAATATTGTTAATATTATACCTCCACATTTCAACTCTCTGACAGGCAAAACATAATAATTAAATATAATGACTTGAGCAAAAATCCACAATGACACAAAGAAGTCAAACTCAGAGTGTTTTTCTAAGGCATTTACAAAACAGCCTTAGTCCTTGGACTAATGATCACTGAATAATGTTTGAT